AAGAGGCCGTGCCGTCAGAGATTCGTGTGGGAGCAGGAAAAATTGGGGGACGGTGCTGGGGAGCTCGGAAGGAGGAAGCGGCGTGCAGTGTGAAGGCGGTCGAACAGCTGTCGTATGTAGGTACTCGTAGGGCGGGCGAGATCCCATCCAGTCCCTCACCAATGACAGGTCCACGGGTTACAGCATCGTCATCTGCTGAAGTCGCCTGGTGCATGTGCGTAACTCGTTCTCGCAGGGAGATGAACTGCCAGGTATTCGTACTCGTAGACACGAACGGCACTTTGTTTACAGTTGTGGATAATGGACGAGTCTCCACGCGACAGAGGCAACCCACATCATGTCAAGCCGTTGCGGTGGCACTGCAGTGACTGCATGAAATGCAAAGTGAAGTCTGGAACCGAATGTAAAGCCCCTGCAGGAAAACCACTCGCCGAGATGGAAATGCCCGAGTACAGTAAACGGCAACACGCCACCAAAACTCGCTTGCTCGGCGGACGGGTAAGCTCCAGGGGCAGAACAGACCTAACAAGAGGTGAAACCGGCTAAACAGATAGGCGGCGCAGGCTTAATCCAAAGCCTTTCTTTAACTGGACAAGGAGAGGGTTTTAGTTAAGACTAGCCCGAATGCATGAGCCTAGTAGGCCAAGACCCACCCCGCTGCACCACCCCAGAGACGCTGCCAACTTGACAAGTGTGTGCAGGTTGCTTCAACGCCACGCACCTAATCCAGAGAGAGACGCGACGAGACCCAGAACATCTCTCGTGCAGATATCTATCAAAGTTTTTTCTGTTCCTCTTGCATGCTTCCGGCGCTTCCCCTTTTCCCCAATCCTCGAATGGGAGAGGCAGAAAGGTGACAGCTGCAGATCACCATCATCTCCATCACCGCTTCCCACCTCTAGACCTCCAGGTATCAACGAGCGAACAAAGGAACGAACACTGTCACCACCACCATCACCACTACTACCACCAACCAACCCTATCACCGTTTCCTGGCCGCATTAGCTGGTGCAAATACGAGTACCTAGTCCCTGCTCTCAAAACCATCCATCCGATCGTCGATCTCTGTGGCGGCCGCTGTCCTTTCCACACTCGACTCGGCCTAGGCGCAGGGAGGCGCTTGCCCCAGAGCCAAACGATCCCTGCACACGTCGTTATCTCCATGTTTTAATGCATCCTTCGGTTCTCCAGAGTCAAAAATAATCAACTTCCATTCGACATCTCAAGCAGTCCCCTTGTATCTCCTTTCCTCTCCCACGGCTTGTGGTCGGCTGGCCGCCAAATCTAAAGCTCCTTTTCCCAACGTCAGTGTCAAGGTCAAAGAGAGGTCGCATTTTACCCTTCTCTTCTGGCCTCCAGAGATTCACGGCAAGGACAACATTGACGTAGTGAAGAATGCCCGTGCAGTTTTAAATCACCCCTTTGGAATCAGAGCTTGGGACCGGCAAAGTCAACTCTATCTGACAATAGCTAAATCCTTTTCTGACCCAGCAAGGCTTTGACGCTGGTCTCAAGGCCCCATACTTGGTTGATCTGATGGCAAGCTCGAACTAAAACATGCGATCCACGCCAGAAACCCCCGAATCATCTCGACCGCTTGCGGATTACTTCTGGATTGCCGGGCTCGACGGCCAACAACTGGCAGACGCCATCTCTCAACCCCGATGGTCTTATGATCAGATTGACGCCAATGGCGTCGACTTTTCCATCAAAGAAGAGGCATCTGTTGATGACGAGCAGTCGTCCATCCTTCAGTCTCCTCGAGCCTCGGTTGGCCATTCCAGACATGACTCCTACCAGAGATTGTCGCAGCTCTCCGACGAGGCGAAGGAGACCATTCAGAGTCTTGAAGACGCAACGAAGCCACGCAGTAACCGGAGTAGTCTCACCATTCGGGCGGCTGCTCCGACTGCCTCGGATCCTCGAATGTCCTCGTTGATAACAGAAGCCGACTTCGAGAAGGCCATGACCAAGTTCGCCACTGACCGAGATGCTTTCTATTTGGACTTGACATTTCAGCCCAATGAATCGTCCAAGCCGGCTCGATCCAAGTCGCGACCGAAGACACAGAAAATCATTGCTGAAGATGAGCCTACCCCGGTTCCCAATCGCAATTTCGGAAGTATCCGCAGACACCTTTCTTTCAAAGACATGTCCAGCACAAAACGTCAACCGTCCATGGCCCGACGGACATCGACGCGCACCTCTCGAAGGATGAGCAGTTACAACTCAGTCATCCCCAGCCCAGAGACATTCCATAGCTCTCCTGACCAGTATCCTCTGATGCGAAAATTCGAACCCGTATTGCTGGAAAGATATCCTCGACCAAGCTCTTTCGAAAAGTCTCAGAGTAGAGCACCGTTTCCAGACTATGTGCCCATGTTTGCTTTCCCTGGTGACATCAAGATTGTGGCCGCTGAGACCAGACCGAGGTCAACTTGGCACGAATTCTCCATGACAGCAGCAGATAACTCGAGACTTACGGCGGTCACAGTCATAATATGGATCCCCGTGAATCGCGATGTTGCTGTCGATCTGGAAAAGAAGTGTGAGCAATGGCGAAAAGCTCACATGTCGGAGGCGGAGAGAGAATTGGCCACTTCACTTGCAGAGAGGTTGACGGCAGAAAGTGCAAAATTGTCTAGATTACTAACACAATTACCCCAACTCTCACCAGATTCAGCAGAAAGAGAGGCTTTGGAGGATGAAATCAGCGCGGTGGAAGAGAAGATTGCTGTCATGTCTGACATGCTCAGGCCCCTGCGACACAGTTCAGAATCGGATATTCAAGGGCTTGCAGGTGGCGAAACTCGCTTCTGGATTCCAAGAGCTTATGGTATCTTGGGTAGGGACAAGTCCATGGCAAACTTCTGGCGGCAATGGCTTCGAGCGGTCGTCGTTCCTATGACTGATGGAGGGGTCTTGCGAGTGCCGGCTAGCTCGCCGAAAGTCGGCATGTGGCAGCCATTGGAAAGATACGTTGCTGCTCTGTGCATCGAAGCACCCTCTCCGGTGTCGTCCAAAACTCAGGTCCAAATTTCGATACGAGAGCTCCAACTGTATGCAAAAAAAGAGGCGGCAAATGAGCTCCCCGGGAGTAGGACGACCGATCTGTATCCGCTATTCCGAGCTCTTACCATTCCGAACATTATCCTTCTTCTGGAGTACGTCTTATCCGAGTCCCGGGTCATTCTCCTTTCAACCCACGTCTCCATGCTACAGTTAGTCAGCAAAGCCATCCTGGAACTCATCTGGCCCTTCGAATGGACAGGAATCTACATACCGGTGTTGCCATCACGTTTGGTTCAAGCATTGGATGCGCCTTGTCCTTACATCTGCGGCATCGATCGCAAATATGAAAAGTACGACCTACCTGACGACGATTATGTTTTGGTCGATTTGGATAAGAACGAATTGCATAGTACGGCACCGCCGCCTTTCCTACCGAAACAACAGCGGAGAAAGTTGATGTCTCTGCTTTACCAAGCTGCACCGCTTCACCAAAGCTTCGGAGTGACTCCGGGGCCTCCTGCGTATGCGGTGGACACATATCCGTATGATGGCTTTTCTGCAGAGCTCGAGTCTACCTTTACCGCAGTCGCCAAATCCACAAATCTAGATAAACTCGCGAGCCTCAGCTCTACGACATTCGGCCCGCAAGCCGCAACTGACACCATTCGACGGTCTCCACTGCTGAACGTTTTCCTCGCTGCTACACCAACCAGAGGAAAGAGCTCTGATCGTCCCAGAACGTCATCGACCGCCAGATACTCCACGTACACTGATTCCGACAGTCAATCTCCCGTTAACCCCAACTTCCCTGTGACGCCTGGTTCTGGACCGTCACGAACCGATTCGGGGTATGCTCTTCAGACTTCTCTCAAGGAAAAGAGATCCGGTCACTTCGATTCAGTGTCGAAAAGAAGTTTCTCTGGGTCTAGTCATATGATTCGAAAAGCAAGCCTTCCATTCGTGAAACACAGTGCGAGTCCATCTTCGAGCACTACACTATCGGACAATCGAAATGGGTCTATGTATGCACCCTCCACTTACGCGCAGTCGACCCTGGCAGCCTCTACAATTATGCCTGGGGTGAACACACTGCATATGCGGACTGGTGAAGGTACGCACTGGTCTGAAGGTCACTGTCTGCTATGGAGAGCGGCGGATGGTCCATCTACATGTCTTCTGTGCGACGAAAAGGCTCCAGATGGATACTATAGATGTTCTGGGTGTGGTTTCGTCGTCCACGATCGATGCGCCCACAACATATCTATAGTCTGCTCTGCAGCTTTCTACCCAGATCAGATTCGTGCCGCCTTTGCGAGATGCATGGCCAGCTTGTTATACACCTACCGGAAATTTTTGCAGCCTGCACCTCCACAGAAAAAGAAGCTTGGGGCTATCTACTCCTTTGACAGTGACGCTTTCGTGAGAAGTTTGACCCCTGACCATGCCGCCTACATGGGCATGCTGCAACAGACTCAAGCTTGGAATGAGTTCATCATGGACCGCGAAGAGAAATCATCAAGTCCTTCGATATCCCTGTTCGACGCCATCATCATGGCAAAACGTCGGCGCGCCGGCTTACGGTCGAGCATTCCCAGTCTCAGTCTCAACAGAAAAAGCTTTATGGCATGGTCACCTCATGTGGGCATGAACACTGACTTACTTTCAGATGCATCTCAGCATCAATGGAGGATAGTGGCAGTACCGGCTAGCGTTGATCGGCCAGAGCTAGGCGCTGCATCAAAAGGACGTGATTATCATACCATTGTCACCCGAACCCCTGCGAAGCTGGAAGAAGGTTTATTCAAGCAAGATGAGAAGGTTCCGAGCTTGCCTACGATTCCCAAGAGATCCAGAATCAGCATGTTGACCAGTAAAATGAACGGTCTTGGCATGCACGCCCCATGAAGACTCGACACAAGACGCATTGATCCTGACACCTTTTCCGAGATAAATATGGCTATCCTACAAGTCACAAAATCAGGTAGCTTTTATGCTGCTTTCCGCCGAGTCAAGAGGTTCCCGGTGCTCAGGGAACCTCGTTCTCCCATTTCGGTCCGCCATTGAATAGCAAGTTGGCCCAGAACCGCCCTGCCATCACGTTTGATACTATCCTTGAGTTCCTCCAGCCCTTCTGCGACGCCTTGTTCCTGCTCGACCAGAAAGGCTACTTGTATAATATCTCGGGGTTTGAGCGACGGATATTCCGCGGCAACATCGTTATCCTGTTCAGCATCCCAATTCAGCGAAGTCGACTTGAATGGCGGCTTCGGCTGGAGTTTAGTCTGTTGCAGTAATATCGGCGCATCTGATACGTTTTCCAGTTGTGCCTCTAAAACATAGCGCAGCAAAGTGGCCTTTTCATACGGACCATGCGCTTTGTCGGAAACTTTGACAGCTTCCAGTTCAGTGGTCTTGGTTCGCACGCTCACACATGGTTGGGCGAGGAACTGGTATAATTTCCGAAACGATCGAACCCTCCCGCCGGTGGCTTGGCCATCACCTGATAGGGTCTCGGTGTAGGTGACATTGACGGCGAGCACGTGGTTGCCTTCCTCCTTCAGGTCGAACCGAATGATCCTTTGCAAGGCGCTTCCGGGCCCGGAGTGACTCGAGCTGTCTTCTGTTAGATCATCAGCCGCATAGAGCTCTAGGGGCACGGCTTGAGATGGTGTTTGCATTTCGGCCAAGATTCTTGTTCCTGAAACGCTTTTGGTTGACTGTGCTGAGGGGAGTTCGTTGTTGGCGCAGAGAGCACAGGAGAAGGTCTCGCCGACATGAGCCGAACCGAAGGATGGCGGCAAACCCATGCTGGCGGACAAAATGAAGTTCTGGTCGACGGCTTTGGATGGGTATGCTAACGAGGCTGTATGAGGTATCTTGTTGTCATTTTCGCGGGGGAGAGGGTGTTGTTGTGCCAGCGACGGTCGGGAGAGTCTATGGGGGATGCGCATTAATTGACCTAATTGCCTATTTTCCCAACAACGTGTAACCAGTCACAGAAACACGGACTCACCTCAGCACTAGAAGATTTTGGCCAGGGTTAGCAACACGCAGATCAAGTAATGATGATTGTGTAATAACAAAACAACGATTTTGACCCAGAGAGTGGCATACCTTTTAAAGATATCGAGTGAGGCTCTTTGGGGAAGTTCCCCGTATCGGCGCGTGGGCGAGCCATGAGCTCGATCTGACAGACGTTCGGAGCGGCATCAACTGTTATTTATCGCCTATTAGATGTAAGTCGCAATAAAGTGGGTGCAAGGCGAGACAATGTGACGAGAATACAAGTGGTCTTCCGGTCTGGCCTGACCTGAGCTGGTCTACGTAAACGAGAAGAGATGAGGGAGTATCAGAAGGACAAGAATGAAAGGAGGTGGAGGTGGAAAGGACAAACTCGACTTCAAATGACATTCTCCGAGGAAGACTATTAGCGGTGAGGACCTTGTCATTTTGTGGTCAGACAAGAGGTAACTAAGATTTCTGTGTTGGAGGCTGTTATCTTCACCTGTACCACGTGCGTCCACGTGCCTGCGCTTGGACTGATTACCTACCTTTCCAAGATAGGAATAGTGCTATGTCGGCAAACGTACCTGCCATGGAAGGGCCTCAGACCTCGACTGCGGGGTATCAACCCTCTGATGTTTTTTTCTTGACGAGGCTGCGAGGCTGTCTGTTGATGGATCGATTGTTGTTCACGCATCTCAAAGCCTCGTTACTCTGTTATCCCTCATTCCTTCTCGCGAAACCATGTGAAATTGCCGGAAGCGTCTGAATAACAATTAATTTACTAGATACCCGTTTAGCACCAGAGACCGACGCGGATTTATCATGGCAGTCGCATCATCAGTGCACAACACACGACCTACGCACGGCCTTGGACGCCGAAGACGCGCTCTAGAGCTACTTGAGACCGTCGAGCTGTAGGTCCAAGGTCAGTTCTCAGGCTTTACAGCGACACGGTCACGATTTATATCCTTTGTCTAACCTGGACAACTTTGACCGGTTTCTATTCCGTGAGTACTGATACGCCTCTACATACTACCTACTTCAGCACTCAGCACTCGGGTCCTTGTATTCAGCATACCTCCTCTTTCGGCCCGAGCGCGAGTGAGTTTTGTCCACGAGCGAGGGCCGACAGCAGCTCCCTCGATGGCGGTCGATCGATGAGGGACGGCGAACTCCAGAGTCCTGGACCCGCCAAGTTATCGGCATCGGCCGAAGACCTCGGAAAGGAAACCTTAGGTGGCCTGGCCTTTTGAAGCATACCATGGCGTATGTGATTTATTCGCTGCAAGACATCTAGACGAGAGGTGGTATCTTTCCATCTCTCTCAGTAAAGTCTCCCGTCCGGGCGATGGCGGGGGATGGGTTGGTTTCAGAGAGAGGCAGAGGCTCGTAATTTTATGAAGTCCGAAGCCGTTTAGTCGTTCCGGCAATCTAGGGACAGTTTCTCTCTCACCGAAGCCGAAGAAGTCGGAATTGAAGCTGCGGTATTGAAAGAATCAAGAAATTAGCATACATAAACATATCCAAGAAGTGACTTTATGCGAATGATAGATAGAGATGAAGCCGGGGTAAAAAAAGGGGGAGGGGGAGGGGCGGTTGTGCAAGGGGCAGCGAATGACGTCCGTCTCGTAGGACTGTTTTCTCACCCTTTCATTTTCTTTCCCTCTTTTCCCCTCCGCATTATTCATTGTTCGCGAGTCACGATCCCCGTTGACCCGGCCGGGCTGTAAAAGAGCAGTGAGTTTTTGCGGTCCGAGGCACAATACCGAAAAAGCCGAGGGTAAAGTTCACTTGGGGGTCGTGACTTTGAATCTCTTTTGATAAAGAGAGAGGTAGGTATACATACGTATATTGTACAGACACTGACAAACACTACACGCACATACGGACACAGCGTGAGATATATACGCACGGCCACCCCTAGTCACTCACAGATCGTGAACATCGGAGAAGGAAGAAAACGCGAGGGAAAAAAAAATGGCCAGCACCAAGATCGTAACCGTGGTGGCATACCCGTCGACGACCAAGGATGGACAACCCGCCCGCTTCGACATGGACTAGTAAGTCTGCTTCATTCACCATTTTTCTTCCTATTTGCCTAGGCCCCCCTCTCCTTTAGAGGACCTCGTTGAGAAAAGCGCGGGTGTGTAGCTACCTCAAGACTCACATGGGCGAACTGATCGAGCGCGACTGGCGGCCCTTTGGCATGCGCAAGTGGACCGTCGAGTCGTTCCCGTCCGAGCTCTCCTTGACCGGCCAGACGCCGCCGTACATCGCCGCGGCGACCATCGAGTGGGACAACATCGACGACTTCAAGAACGCCCTGACAAAAGGGAGCGAGGCGTCGGCCAAGGACGTCGCCAACTACACGAACGTGACGCCCGAGATCATTATTGGGAAAGTCACGGGATCGAGTGCGGCGTGATTTCACTCGATGTGTGATGTGTGATGTGTGATGTGTAGGATGGGTGGTCGTATGGGGGTTGGTGGTCCGGTGTGGCATCTGGTACGGTGATGGTGATGGTGTGGTATGGAAAGGACAGAGAGCGAATAGAGTCGTTGGATGGGAAAACAGACAGTGATTTGATCATCTCTTCCCCCCTAACCAAGATATACCGCCAATGACCGACTCGGCCTACTGTGGCCGAATGCCCTCCCGTTGTCTGAGAGGTATTCAACCCACGACGCTTGAAAAGGAACAAAAAGGAAACACTCCCCTCCCATTTCACTTGCCTTTTTGTTTTTCTTTTCCCTATTGTCCCCCCCCCTTTTTTTCTTGGTCACGACTTAGCGAGAAAAAACATTCAGCTCACATATCCTTGCCCTTGAAGAACTTTTCCCCCTGCACGGTCAACCACGGAACAAGACCACCCTGCCCCCTCCCCTTGCTGTGGCCCTCGCCGTGGAACTCGTGGATCTTGACGCTCGGCTTCACCGCCGAGGTATCGACCAGAACCTCGCCCTGCGCGTCGACCGCCTCGGCCTGGACGGTCTTGACGCCCACGCGATCCAGCTTCAGCGACGTCTCGAAACTCTCGCGCGGAGCCTCGCCAATGTACGCGCGACGGCCGCGGAAGACTTCGTAGAAGCGCCACAGCTTGGTCCGCGTGTCGCCGTTCCACGAGACATAGATCTCCGTGGAGCCCTGGTCTTCGAGCGCGACGATGGCGGGCGCCTCGTTGGGGATCCCCGTCCAGTTGTACCGGAAGCCGCGGTAGTTCTCGACCCCGAGACCCAGGTAGCCCGAGTCCATGTACGTGTGGAAGATCGGGGTGCCGTCGGCCTTGAACTCGGTCATGGCGCCCTCGGAGCCCCAGTTGACCAGGACGTTGCCGTTGGGGAGCAGCTGCGTGGAGCCCTGCGACTTGGACAGGAGGTCGTCGGGCGGGTGGAAGGCCTGCACGATCCGGGCCTCCCACGTCTCGGTGTCGACCTGGATGATCTTGCCGCGCGAGATGTTGTAAAAGTGCACCTCGTGGCCGTGGTCGTTCTCCGTCCCGTGCGCCGAGTTGTCGTACAGGCTGATGATCTCGCGCGTGCCGTTTTCGTTGCGGCCCTGGAACCGCGCGTGGTGCTGGAACGCGAACTCGACCTCGGGCCCCATCTTGAAGCTCGACGACTTACCCGACAGCTGCCAGATGATCTCCCCGCTGGTCCCGTTGATCTTGTACACGGCGTTGGCGTCGCGCGCCGAGATCAGGTAGTTGCCCTGGTCGTCCTTGTCGACCGAGTTGATGTGGAAGTAGTCCCACGCGTCGGAACTGTTGTAGCCAGCTCCTGCTTGCCCGGGGTTGAGGGGGAGGTAGGCCTCTACATGGCAAAAATCAGAACCCTGAACACGAGGGGTGATATTGTGTACTGGAGCAAGGTGACATTCTACAACGTACCTGAGGGGTCGACATGCTCGAGACTGCTCCACTCGAACAGCACTTCACCGGTTTCAATGTCAAGTTCTGTACAAACAACGTTAGCCTGGCACGAAAGCTCAACTTGCTTCCAAGCCAACCTTGAAATTTGGCGTCGACAATCCACTGCTGCTCCTCACTTCCCCCGTACGCCGTCAAGTTGTACGGCACCGGGTGGTAGATCTGGATCAGGGCCGTCTCCTCGTTGATGATGTGAAACTCGTGCTTGTCTGTCAGACGGTGGTTCCCCGCCCGCAGCTCCCGGATGGTCTCGTAGTTCTGGTCGAGAAAGGTCGTGTGGCCGTGCCCGTGGCCGTACGCGCCGTTGTGGCTCCCCTCGAAGCAGAAGAGGATGTCCTTGCCCTTCCACCGGCCGGCCTGGAAGTTTGTCGCCCAGATGGAGAAGTAGGTGAAGCCCGACCAGACCAGGTCGCCCGTGTCGGTGAAGATGTACGGCGCCGCCTGGGCTGGGCCGTGGTGCGTGCCCTCCGGGTAGCCCGCAAAGGGCGCCATGAAGAGGTATCCCTTCTCAACCTCCTTGGTGGCCGGGATCGTGATGTTCAGCGTCGGCGGCGCCAGGTCCGGTCGCGACTTGTACCGCCAGTTGGCCGTCGCGGTCGGGAGGAGGGACAGGCATGTTGTCAGGGCCACCAATGTGGCTCGGACGCCTGGGAAGCCGAATGTCGGGCTCATCCCGGTTCAGTATGGGAGAATGAACGTACCCTTGAAAAGAGTTGAGGGGATAAGGGGTGGAAGGAGGATGTGATTCTTCGATGAGGCATCGTTACAGGACAGGGGAGAGGTGTGTGCCATTATATCGAAACTCTCGAACAAAGCAGCCTCCATCGCACATCAGGTATTACTTACTTGCCCACCAACCAGATACGAGTCACGACATCGCTCCTCACAATTCACCACCAGTTCATCCATGAGAAAAGAATGTCGTGATGGGGGAGATCCGTCCAAAGAGAAACGGGTCTTGACAATGGAGACGAAGCCCGAAAGGTGGAGTTTGACTTGATGTGCTGTCGATCCTTTTCACGGAGTCCATGTCCGTCTTGACAGCACACCATACGCCTTCTTGTTCAACAATCCTGGCAAATCACACAGAGACAAGAAATCTTCAACGGACTTGGACTCCGCTTCCTTGTAAGAGACCCATATCCACACAGATGGGAGAGAGAGAGAGAGGGAGATTTTGATCAACCCTCTGTTCAGTATAGGCGGATCTCCCATGATGGCCACCTCACAATCGCACACGAGAATGACAAATGGATTCCTCTGATCCACCGTGGCGAAAGAGAAAAACACACCACACACGATGCCTCTTGTGCGACTTGCGCTTCCCGCAACTTATCCCAGCGTCGAATCGAAATCTACGTGGAACATGCTTACCTGTTCGGCCCACAATCCCCTCCATTTGGCTCAACACAAACCTACCTACATATATTTGCGACAAATGTACTCTTGTGGCTTTCTTGCGGGCGCGGATATTTTGTGGTGAAGTCACATGGATAGAAGAGATACTGCGACGCAAGAGATGGGAGAGGAGGATCATTACACGATCAACGACATCCTCACCGAGTCGGATGTGACGACGCCGCTCCTCGCCGAGTCTGCCGGTGCCAAAGGGCGTCGAGAGAAATGGACGCCTGGGCCGGGTTTTATATGGATAGAAATTGGTAAGAAGGTGGAAACAAAGGAGGGCTTTGATACTTTGTGATCCGAGGCTGATATCTGTCCAGCCATCTTCTCAAACGTCTTTCTCTCTGGCTTTGACGGGACCATCACGGCGTCGACATACGCGGTTATCGGGTCCGAGTTCAACGCGGCGAATACAATATCATGGCTGACGACGTCGTATCTGATCACCAGCACCGCCTTCCAGCCGCTGTATGGGCGCTTCTCGGACATCTTGGGACGGCGAACCTGCTTCTTCACGGCCACGATCACGTTTCTGCTTGGATGTCTCGGGTGCGGGTTTGCGCCCGACATCATCTCACTGAATCTGATGAGAGCCCTGACGGGGCTTGGAGGTGGAGGACTCATGACCATGGCCACCATCATCAACTCGGACATGATCCCCTTCCAGGAACGGGGCATGTACCAGGCCTGTCAGAACGTCTTGCACGGATTTGGGTCCATCTGCGGGGCGTCGCTGGGCGGGCTGATTGCCGACCATATCGGATGGCGCTGGTGTTTTCTCCTGCAGGTGCCTGTCTCGACATTTGCGTTCGTCGTCGGTCATTTTGTCATCACGAAGCACGCGACCAAGAAGTTGGCGACGGACGAGGAGTCGGAGGCCTCCAGCGCGGCCAAGCTCTCGTCGAAGTGGGAGCAGATTGACCTCTCGGGCGCCGTCCTCTTGGTCCTGGGCCTCTCGGCGCAGCTGGGTGCCATGACCATGGGTGGAAACAACTACCCTTGGAGCGATATTCGTGTCATTGTCGCCATGATCTTGAGTGTGATTCTCATTCTCGTATTCGTCGTGGTGGAGCTCAGGACCAAGGCCGTCCCCGTGATGCCCATGTCCATGTTACATGGAACTCTCGCCATCTCGAACCAGATCAGTAATGTATGCGTCGGTATGGCTGCTTACTCTGTGAGTTCGGACTCGACGAGTTTCCTTTATGCGGGCATTGACAGACGAACAGTTCCTCTTCATCTCGCCCCTGTTCTTCCAGGTCGTTCTGCGCGACAACCCCTCCGAGGCCGGCATGCGCCTGGTGATCCCGTCCCTGGCGACTCCTGCAGGCGGTGTTCTTTCAGGCATCGTCATGTCCCGATGGGGCCGACTCAGTGAGCTCGTCAGGGCGGGCTGCTTCATCATGATGGTGGGAAACGGCCTCGTCGCCTCCCTCAAGTACCAGGATGCCTCGTGGAAGTACATGGTCTATCTATTCCCCGCCAACTTTGGCCAGGGCATCTGCTATCCCGCGATCCTGTTTACCTTTCTAGCCGCGTTTGACCACAGCTGTAAGTGGACCTGGGGCCCGATACCTTTGCCAGAGGGGCATGATATGCTAACAGGCATATAGACCAAGCCGTGTCCACCTCGACCGTGTACCTGTTCCGCTCCATGGGAACGGTCTGGGGCGTTGCGGCGTCGTCGACATTGCTGCAGAACATTCTGGCGCAGCAACTCCCTTCGGCGCTCGAGGGAATTCCGAACAAGGACGAGTTGGTCGATCAGATCCGTCACTCGGTGGCCGTGTTGGACCATCTGCCGCCCGAGGTGCAGTCGGCGGCCAGGCACGTTTACTACCGTGCCTTGAGATATGCCTACGTCGCCAACACTGCCGTCGCGGCCGTCGCGTTGGTATCGGCGTTCTTTGCTCGGGGGAAACGTCTTGATCGCAAATAAGAAAAGCTTGGATCATAGATTAGTATATAAAGAAAAAAGGATGGTCAACAGCGCGCAAGCACAGTTCTGACAACGTGGCGAAAAACTCGTCAAAGGAGCCGGCTTAACGGTGATTGATAGAAAAGCGACATCAAAACCCTCCCGAGCAGGGGACAAATAGAGACTTCGATTCCACGGCCACGTTACTCGAATGCCCATATCCTTGATATACCACATTCGATATATCTAGGTTGAGTTCTATGCCGTGGATACATAACGAGGTACTTTGTCAAGCTGACTTTCGTCTACCCAGGGCTCTGGACAGGGCTTAATTACAGAAAAAGCCAAGCTTACCAAAGGAACTCACATTCGAGAAGCACGTGGCGACAAGTCACGGTCAAGAGAAACAAGCTGGAGGATTGCTCAGTGTCTCCAAGGCGGACAAGGAAGTTCCATGTGCATTCATTCTCCTTGATTTTGCCGCGGCAGATCCGATTGAGGGCAAGCTGACATATGTACTATCCATCTCCTTTTCACTCTAGGGTTAAGTTTTCAGTTTTCTTTGCACCATTCTCTCCTTGGTGTGTTTCGGTTGTCTGATTGTGTCACGGGCGAGAATATACGCCGCAACCGCTACTCTAGACTCACTTCACCATGATCTCGACTAGCTTTCCTTGAAAACGATATCTCGTACCTCGTTGATCGAATAGCTGTGTCATCACTCTTCTGCCAAAACCTTTCAGTAGTGATCACAGCCAGGCCTTTCCGTGGTATGTAACGACATTATCTCCCTGTTAATTCCAGCAGCAGTGCCAACCCCGCCACTTGCTAGCCGCTCGTCTGATGTTCTGCTACGGCCCTGGCCACCTTCTACATATCTAAGCCGCATCTCGCTTTCTTTTGGTAAGAGTAGCATTATTTCATCAACTCGTGCAGGCTCAATTGACAGCCGATACAGATCATCCTTGTGAACCGCTAGGCCGACGGGGTGTACGAGAGGCATTATCAAACATTCGCTACACACGGTAGCTGCCGTTGGCTTCTTTGGCTGTCTACGCCTCTCAGCTACACGCGACCACCTCGCCCCAGCTACTGCGACACCAGGAGGCAGGAAAAGTAAAGCTTCGACTTATCAAGGGGTCGCACTTTGTTCACTCATCTCTCTCAGAGATTCTCAGAGCGAGTAGGAGGGCTTACCTCCGCGCTCCTTTCTCAATCAGTAGACGCACTACTTGCTCGTGACCCCCTAATGATGCCGCCTGTAGTGCGTTACCAAATTCGCCACCTTGAGCGTTTACCTCCGCTCCTTCCTTAATTAGTAGATGTACCACTTGCTCGTCACCTCTCCATGATGCCGCCTGTAGTGCGTTACCATAGTAGCCACCTTGAGCGTTTGCCTCCGCTCCTTTCTCAATCAGTAGACGCACTACTTGCTCGTGACCCTCCGATGATGCCACATATAGTGCGTTGCCATAGCGGCCACCTTGAGCGTTCACCTCCGCTCCAGCCGTGATCAAGAATTGGACTATAGTTACTTTACCAGTCATTGCCGCTTGTTGTAGTGCGCTTCCAAATTGTTCCGTCATCTGGTTACTCTGCCTGCCACTGCTGACCAGCAATCGGACAATATCCTCATGACCAGATTCAGCCGCATACACCAAGGGTGTATGACCATTATGATCTCTGGGTTCGACTTCAGCCCCCGCTGTTAGCAAAGCCTGTACTACCGTTATATGGCCGTTCGCAGCTGCAAGGTGGAGCGCCCGATGTCCATCGCCGTCGGTTTGCTCCAGACTCGTTCCTCGTTGTAACAGCTCAGCAACGA